ATGCTGGGTTCTGCACCCCTCGGACCCGCGTCCTGATCACTGGGAAACCCAGCCCAGCAGCTGCCGCCAGCCCAGCTTCTCGATTCCCATCAGCCCATCAATATTTACTGACTTTCGGCTTCCAGTTCCACGGCGCTCTGGAGACCTGCAGAAGCTACGGGAACTTTTCAGCGCCTTTATAGACGTGGAGTTTCGGCTCCAATAACGATTCCTAGTGTGTCTCATCGGGAATGTGTTTCACCTGTAAGAGATGGGGAGAGGGGGCTGCTTTAGAACTGAATTCTCTTGCGTCAAATACAAACCCACCTTGAAATGGACCAGCTGAACCCATAAAAACATGCAAACAACCACCAAACCTTCCTGTTTTCTTCTGGCTCCGAGTGTGGGTTGGCGCGTTCATTTGGGAAGGGTTGGGCAGGGCATTCCTAGGGACAAAGTTCCATTTACAATGTAAAATGCTTGGCTACTGGGAGCCAGTGAAGGTGACCTGCCGTTCTCTGGGCTTTCCTGCTTGTCCGGTGCAGGGAGAAGCCTGGTGACGGCTAACCCGCCCTCGGCCATGAATTTGGGAAGTGGCTTTGTGGTTCAGATAGCCAAGGAGCCATCAAACTTCTCTGTTCCATGCTTTCGCTCCGGTTTATCTTTGCAGAACTGCAGACTTGAGGGGAGGCTTGGTGACAGTGCGCTGACTTGGTGTTGAACTGTGTGCTCTTTGGAAAGATGGTGGGCAGGCATTGTGACCTGGCCCAGCAAGGGCACTTTTCCCGCATGTTTGAGTATGAAAGCATATTTTGCCTGTATCTATTTTAAAAAATATATCCTTATGTATCAACTTTTATTTTAATTAATTTTTTTTAGAGAGAGAGGAAGGGGGAGAGAGAAACATTGATCGGTTGTCTCCCATATGCACCCAGACTTGGGATCGAACCCACAACCTAGCTATGTGCCCTGACCAGGAATTGAACCCACAACCTTTTGGTGTATGGGAGAGTGCCCCAACCAACTGAGCCACCCAGTCAGGGCTTGCCTGTCCCTTTTAAATAAAGGTTTTACAAGGCATTTCTGATGGTAAAATTAAAGATACTGGGTAAATTACTCAGACCTTTAGTATCTCATGTATTCTTTTTAAGAAAATATACACGATTCAACTTTCATGGTGGGGCAAACCTAGGTTTACCATTGTTTGTATGGAAAATAACACAATAATTAAATAACAATATGAGAATAAACTGGCTGAGTACTCACAACTGTAAACCCACGTTTGCCCCGCCCTGTGTCTTCATAGCAGGTGGAACAAGTTGAAAAACATTATTTAAGCTGAAGTCTTGCTTTTTGGCCTTACACTGAGTGAGAAAGCTGGAAGTCACTTTACAATTTACTTGTTTTACCAGAAGCTGATTAAGGGGACCCCAAAGCACCTCCTCCTTTCTACAGGTACCCCAAGTTCTCCTCCCTTCTTTTTGCTTAATATTTTTTGTTTTTCAATTACAGTTGACGTATAATGTTAGTTCCCGGTACACAACCCAGTGATTAGACATTTATATAAGTTACGAAGTGATCACCCATATGGCAATAGGTACCCCCAGTGGCCTCCTGTTTTCTGTGTCTAAGAGGACCCCAAAGTTCTAGAAACCCCAGTGTAGTGGCCTCCTGTTCTCCATGTCTAAGAGGCGCCATTCCGGAAACCGAAGGAGGGGGCAGTAGCACCGTCAGACACCGGGGCCTTCTCGGGGCTGGGAGGCCCTGGCCCCTGAGTTGGCCTGTTGGTTGCTAAGGTTTTTGGGGGAACATTTTTGTGGCTGGGATAGAAGCAGTGTGCGCTCAGCCTTTCTGCATTGTGCTTCAGGATTTTACAGACTCAAATGCTTGTGATTCTTATCTGAGATGCTCATGCATCCCTCCCTTTAACTGCTGCTTCGTTTTTACAGGCGCTTCAAGGAGATTTGTGGTTTCTTTGCTCAGGAGGGAGAGCATTCAGAGCAGCGTGGGCTTGTGTTCTAAATGTTCATGCACACGTGTAAGTGCGCACGTGCGTGCTCGCACATGCACACACGGAACGGTATTGACAGTATTTCCATAACTGTCTTTTTTCCTGGGTTAGTTGTCAGGGATGCCGGCTTACAATTCAGCAGCTGGCAATTACGGTAACTACCACGTTGTTAGGAAAGGATGAAGGAGAGCGGGTGCAGCTCTAACCACGGGGATGGAGATAGACTCTGTGATGAGTATTGGGGACACGTGTTTCACACCAGAATTTGGATAAACCTGAGCTCGGACTCTTTCTTTCCCTATTGCTACCGAAAAATCTTCAGGTCTCATTAGATAGTAATTCTTCTAATCGACTTTTTGCACTTAAAAAACTTCGTGATTAGCCCTGGGTGGGTGGCTTAGTTGGTTGGTCATCCCGTACACGAGAAAGGTTGTGGGTTCGATTCCTGGTTAGGGCACATTCCTAGGTTGCGGGTGTGATCCCTGGTCAGTTGGATATGGGAGGCAACTGATCGATCTTTCTCTCAAATCAATAAACATAGCCTGGCTAGTGTGGCTCAGTGGTTGAGCATTGACCCATGAACCAAGAGGTCAGGGGTTTTATTTCCAGTAGGGCACATGTCTGGGTTGTGTGCTTGATCCCCACTAGGGGGTGGGCAGGAGACAGCCGATCCATGATTCTCTCTCATCATTGATGTTTCTATCTCTCCCTCTGCCTTCCTCTCTGAAATCAATAAAATATATATGTATATGTAAATATATAAAAAATATATATAAAAGGCTAATATGCAAAGTGTCCCCTTGGGAGTTCGATCGCTCACTATGATGTGCGCTGACCACCAGGGGGTGGTGCGGAACGAAGGAAGGCTCTGGCCGGCAGCCTGCAGCCGGGGAAGGCCTCGATTGGCCCTGATTGCTGACCAGGCCTAGGGACCCTACCCGTGCATGAATTTCGTGCACCAGGCCTCTAGTAAATAAGTCAATAAACATATCCTTGGGTGTGGATTTAAAAAACAACAACTTTGTGACTAAATATATATTCGGGCCCTGGGGTCTTAGCGACTTTCCGATCTGACAGAATCTGGCTGGGAGGAGCTGGACCCAGTGCGAGGACTCTGGTGACAATGAGGTCTCGTTAGAAAGCCTCACAGAGTGTGCATCTTAGAACTGGGAGGGGCGCCGCACCAGGCTGCCTCAGGCCCTGACCTTCAGATGGAGGCCTTGGTAGCCCACTGGATAGATGTGCGCTGGGGGTCACCAACCTGGCGAGTCCTGAGAAGGACCTTGAGGACCAGCTCTGGGCTCCGAATGTCCCTGCTTTCCCTGCAGCCGGGGCCACCTGCTGTTGTGGGGCATGCGCTGCAGTGCCATAGTGAACGACTCTCACATCCATCTGAGTTTTTATAGTAAACCTGCCGCTATGCCATCCTGGGCCGGGTTGTTCTCTCTGGGGGGCTGACCTGGGC